CATGAGTTGGAACCAAGTCTACCACAACAGGTTTGATGCTTTGGCTTTGGGCCTGGTGGTGCTATAGGATAAGCACTGGAATGCTAACTGCAAGGTTGGCAGTTCAAACCCACCAGTTACTTCGAGGGAGAAAGCCAAGGCTGCTCCCATAAAGATTTAGAGTCTTGGAAACCCTATACAGGGGTTGGTAAAAGTCAGAATTGACTTGCTAGAAGTGGGTTTGTTTTGGGTCCTTTGGGGGCGGGGGTAGGAATCACTGCTGGCTTTGGATAAGTCAGTGATTCTGACCTTTTAAATCCAATGCCCCACCCTCACCCCACCCACTCCAAGAGCCCCCTGAAGCTCACAGGCTGGTAAGGATCCTGTTTTTGGGTGGTTGTTGTTTTTAACCTTGAAAACATACAACATCTCAAAGTACCAAGCTTTTTTTTTAAATCTACAACAGCCCAAACCCACCAAAATGCGAGGAGATGACAGCAACCGCCAGCCGAGCAATGGATAAGTCTCTCCAAGGGGACATCAGGCAGGACACAGCATCCCAAGACCTGGTAATTCACTGGAAGGCTGAGGCCACACTCCACAGGCCAAACTCCAGATTAAATGGACTTCAAAGAATCCGTGAGACATACCAAAGTGTTCATGAGCTATTCAACTTTTAAAGAGGGACTACACAAAACGTGCACATCAGCACAATCACAGCGCTGTGTGAAGCTGAAAACCAGGAACTGGAACATACTGGGCCCTCACTCCAGACTGAAGATGCGAGCTGAGTGACTCACAAGCCTTTAGTTACTGAATCCTCACAAGAACCCCACAAGGTAGGTGCTACTCAATCGGGAAACTGAGACCTGTTTGGTTTTTATTTTAAGCCACTTTCCAGTTAGCAAGTAGTGGGGTCAGGGTTCAAATCCAGCACGTCTGGCTCCAAAACCCATGCTCTTAATAGTCTTACACTACTGCTTCTGCAAAGAATAAAATTTGGAAAGGAACCCAGTGGAAAACAAGTTGCTGTATGAAGTTATTTAGGATAAATTTGGTTTGTATTTAATCATAGACCACAAACACCCATTGGTGTTGAGTTGATTCCAACTCACAGCAACCCCGGTGTCAGAGGAGAACTGCTCCATAGGGTTTCCAATGGCAGATCTCTCACACGTAGATAGCCAGGCTCCTCTTCTATGGTACCTCTGGGAGGATTTGAACTGTCAACTTTATAGTTAGTGGCAAAGTACTTGTACTGATTATTTGCACTAACCAGGGACACAAGCATAGAAACCAAGGGAAAGAAGCAAAGCAAGAAAGGAATGGTCAGTGGACTCACCCAGGTCTAACTTAGCCAAGGTGGGAGAGAGGGCAGCATGGCATGTAAAGGGGTAGACGGATGGGCACTGGGGCAGCTCAGGCAGCAGAGGTACCTAAGAGACTCCCAGGGTTCTCTCTGCCTGCACATCAGTGTCCATGTGGGTATGGACATGGGAAGGGGGGCGGGGCATAGAAAAGTCACACAGGGTAGTGATGAGAGAAAGAGATGCTAGAGCAACCCAGATGACTAACAGGAAACTCGGGCTGGGCCGTGAGCAGGACCAGTTCAAAGACTCTCCAGCCAACTGTGAAGCATGGACCTCAGGGACCAGAGGCAGTGCCGCCAAAGTCCACAGTGCCAAGCCAGAAGCAGCCTTCCCTGGCACGAGGAGAGGCAATGCATGCAGCCTGGGGGGCCCAGAGCCAGCCAGGCAAGTGGGGAGCAGCTCCAGAGAGGTGACAGGAGGCAAGGGGTACAGGGAGCCTGAGCCTAGCCTGGTGAGGCTGCAGACTGGACTCTGGTCACGGTCACCAGGGGGTGGACACTACTGAAACCAGAGCGGAACCAAGGTGTACAGGAGACTTGACTGTCCAGGACGGGGGTGGGAGAGAGCCCTAAAAGAAAACTAGGGGAGAGGCCTGGGGGGACACCTCAGGGAGCCTGCAGAAGAGCAGGGAGGGGGGCTGGGAGGGTACCGGACATGGACTCAGGGCCTGGCGCCACAGTGGGGGCTGGAGGCCCTGTCCTATGTCCCCAGCCGCCATTGGCACCCATTCATTTCCCTTCGTTCTCCAGATCTCTGTGAAAGGGACCATTGTCCCTATTCTACAGATGGAACAGAAGAGATGAAGCAACCTGTTCATGAACACAACCCTCCCTCCTCGCCAAACCTGTGGTGGAGAATTTGGCCTTGACAGCAGGTGTAAAGGGAGAAGGGGATGGAAAGGAAGCAGCCTCTAGTGATCCCTCCCTCTCGTCACCTACCCAGCCCTCATGTTAAGTGCCGTCGACTCAGTTCCATCTCATTAGCAACCATGTATAGGGTTTCTGAGAAGTGGCTAATGGGTTTGAACCACCAACCTAATGGTTAGCAATCAAGTGCTTATCCTACAGTGCCACACTAAGATTCAAAAGCCCACTGGCACAGAATGAATTCTGACCATGGCAACCCCGTGTGTCAGAGTAAAAATGGGCTCTATAGGGTTTTCAATGGCTGATTTGTCAGTAGTATATTGCCTGGCCTTTCTTACAAGACACCTCTGTGTGGATTCGAACCTTTTAATTAGCAGTCAAACATAGTCACCATTTGTACGTACAATCCAGGGTGGCGGTTGTTAAGTGCCGTTAAGTAGGTTGCGACTCACAGGGACCCTGTACAGAGTTTCCAAAGAGCTGGTGGGTTTGAACTGCTAACCATGCGTTTTTTAAGCAGGCCAGTGTTTATCCTATAGCGTAGTACCAGGACTCCAGGGAAGGTGATACTTGCCCATTTTACCAACAAGGAAACAGATTTAGGGGAATTCTGTAGCTTGCCCAATGTCAGTTAGGAGGCCAGGTCTGACCTTCTACCTGTCTGGCTCCAGAGGTGACACGCTGATGTCTCCAGCTACTGCTGTGGAAACCTTGCCACTTCTGTCCCAAGAGGGTTTCTTTGGACAGTTGTTCCTCGCAACCCACTCCCTGATGGCAAGTCGGCAATGTAGTCTGAGATTTGTGGCTGGAGGTGAACTCACAAGCAAGTAACAGGTCTCAGTTGCCCCACTTCCACCCCACCCCACCCCACTCATGGTCAGGGTCAGGGTCCTAGATCTAGCCATGCCTGAAGCCATTCTGGCTTTTTAGATTCATGAGACAATTAATTAATTTATGCCAATTTGCACTGCAAGGTACAGAATGCCTAACCCAGAATCCTGACCAACACAGCAGCTCTGAAGTACTTCTATAAAGAGCTGGACTGTCAGTTCTCTTGGGACCCCAGAACACTTGTTGTTAAGTGGAGTCTGTTCCAACTCATAGAGACCATGTAAAGGGTTTCCAAGGAACACTGTGGGTTTGAACTGCCAACCTTGTGGTTCAAAGTTGATCCTACAGCGCCACCCAAATAGTCCAGTAGTCCTTTATGGTGACACTATCCAGCTTGATTGCTGAAAAAAACCTCCTTATTCACTCTTAGGCAGCTAACTAACAACTGAGCCTTTAAAGATTATTTTGCAGGACAAACAAATGAAACTCAAATCCCCTTAAAACAACCTGAAAATAAAGGACCCACCATTTCCCAAGATGTTCTCCTGTAGGGGGCACATACTGGGAGAGAGAAGCACACATCTCCATATGGAAGACATCGCCCCAAAATGAAAGGGTCCTCAGCAAATCTTTGGTCCTTTCCATCTCACTCTATCACGTCCTTTTGCACCAGCTCAGCCTTGTTAATTAATTGCCTCAAATAGACACACCAGGTGTGAATACCGGAGGACTGGCCTTAAAGACTGGACAGGCAACAGGATTATAGGGGGACAAGGGGACTTAGGGCGTCTCCGGAAACCACACAGCGCTGCCACAGTGCCTTTAAATAGAACCCCCACGAGAAGGGCAAATACATTCCATACGCTTTTTGAAATGCTCCAAGCACGACCTGGCCATCGGCCTCCGCTCCCCCAGGCAGTTTTCTGGTCTCGGGCAGATTCTGGAAATATTAATAGCTCAGTAAGGCACTTACTGGGTGCAAAACACTTTGTAGCCTTAAAAGGCAGCAACTGTTAAGGTCTCGTTCTCCACATGAGGAAACTGAGGCCCAGGGAGGTCCAGGGCCAACTAGTGGGAACTCTGCGCGCGCCTCTCACCCTCCTGCATCAGGACGCTAGAGCAGGGGGACCTTGGGTGGTCCAGGTTGCCTAGATGGGCGGCTCCCCTCTGGGTGGGGCTGACACGAGGTGGGACTGAGCCCGCACCACCGGCGGCGAGCTACCAGGCCTGGTTCTTGCCCCTCGGACGGGGCGAAGGGAACCAGAAAAGGCGACGCCCCAGGAGCGCTCCCCCGACGCGCCCGCTCCAGGAACGCCCTGAATCTTTGAGTTTAACTAACTCTCAATTCGCAGCCACGGTTCGTGCTTCCGAACCCATGAGGCCGCCAAGGATTAACTCTGCTCTTTTGTTTTAAAAGAGAAAAGGTCCCAAAACATCAAACCCACTAGCCTCCAGTCGATTCGGACTCACAGCGACCTGACAGAACCGAACATAACTGCCCCAGCGGATGCCGAAGCTGTAAATCTTGATGGGTTCCAACAGCCCGGTCTTTTGGTTAGCAGGCGAGCGCTTTAACCACGGCGCCGCCCGGGCTTGCTTAGATAAAAGGATATCAGTGGCTAATTTCTCCCTGGAAAGATAAAGTTGAGGTGAAGTGCGGAGGTACCTAGTTTCCTAGAAGTTGCGCTCAAGAGCGAATCTGGGAATGGCGCGGGTTACTTTCGCAGGCCCTAGGGTAGCAAGGCTCAGTTTCCCCGGGAGTCCTAAAAGACGCGGCTCCAGCCTCAGTTCCTAGCCCGGCCGATGGTTGAATCTCACCACCGAGCCGGCGAGACTCCGGGTGTAAGATGGAATGCAAAGAGCGCCGCCCCAGTACCCCTCTCCCCACCCTGTCTCACCGAAGCGGGACCCAAGAATCCCGGCTACACCCGGTCCCCGGCGCGCGAATGCTCACCGCTTGAACATATTCTCCAGGTTCTTGATGAGGCGGCGGCTGAATTCGGGGAACTCAGTGTAGGGGTTGAAGACCCTGCAACGGCGGGGTCGCGCCGCGCCCTCCTGGATGTGCAGCCGCCGGCTCAGCTGCGCGCTCAGCTCCGCGTCGGCGCTGGAGACCGGCACCAGGACCGATGGCGCGGACGCGGGCGGTGCGGGCGCCGCAAGGGGCGCCGGCTCGGGCTCCTCTGCCTCTACCCGTTGCAGCCGGCGCTGCAGCTTGCACGCCAGCTCCTCGCTGGCCATGGCGACGGCTCAGGACGCAACAGGGCGCGGGGATCCGGCAGCAAGCGACGGCTCCTTCAAGCTCGCGGCACTGCGGAGACTAGGCGGCAGACTGGGCGAGAGGCAGGCGGGGCGGAGCGGGGCGGGGCGGTGGCTTTAAGGAGGCGCCGGCTCAGGACCCCGCCGCCCTGGCCGCAGGTGCTGGGCCTGCGCAAGCCAGGGACGCCCACCCGCTTCCCCGCCCTAGAGAGCCTGACCCCCGCCCTGGGGAGGCGGCGGGGACCCTCAGATAAACGCTAACCTTGCCCCGCGTCCCGCTCCGGGTGAGCCCGAGAACGTTGGGATCGCCGGGGAAAACGGTAGCTGGACAAAGTTTCACGACCGTCCTGCGCTTCCTTTCTGGTGGCGCTCGCGGCCCGGGGCGGAAGGGGAGCTTGGGTAGCGCCCCGGGGTAGCGCCCGTTGTCCCAAGGGAGTGGCCTGCAGGGCGCGCTGGCCGGAGTGTGGGCAGTTTAAGTGGGGGCTCAAGGACGCACTTTGAAAAGAAATGAGTATTTCCAAAAAAAAGTATTAAAAAGGAAAAAAGAATGAGAGAAAACTCGGGGCTGCTCAATGTTCAGAGTCTCCTCGGGGTTAAGAGATCAGCGCAGCTTCTAGACGCAGCCGCGGCTTGTTTGTGTGAAACACACTAGAGGGAAACGACTGGGAAGCGTGGAAAGAAAGAAATAAGTCAGCATTTTTAACAAGCGGATAAAAACAAGTGCATCATGTTCCCCAAGGAGGGCTGATGTCGATGGTTATTACATCAGCCCGGCGTTAAGGAGCCTTGTAAATACTCGGCCACCGAAACCCAGAAGGCTCTGCTCGCATCGCGCGGGGAGCTGCTGGCGTGGACCAGCCTGTCACCCCGCATCCAGGGACAGGCCTTGTCAAAAATGATCATTTAAAGGAGGACAGGCGGGGGCGGGGGCGTGGTGTCATTAGAAAATCGGTATGAGCCTGATTGGAAAAAAAAATTTTAAGGTACTAGGAAAACCATTAAATATATTTTTTAAAATAAAACTATCAAAATCACTGCAACTTGCTTTGCTCCTGCAAAAGTAAGATTTCTTCAAGTTTTACACATGAAGTGGGAATACTTAAAGTATTTAAGGCTGTGGAGACTTTTAACTGCATCACAGGCCACTAGGTTTCCTGACATGGGGGATATGCGTTTGTGTTGAACCCTATATGTATGTAACACATTGTGACACAGTGCATACACACACACACACACACACACACACACACACACACCCCAAGAGGCTGAAAAAGGAATAAGCCCCATTAACAAAAAACTTGACCCAAGGAGGCAGTTTAAAAAAATCGTTATTTTTGGTCATAAATATGTTAAAGGCAATATTTTTTTCATTCTGAAACAACAGTTCAGGTTATCTTTGAAGACTCTAGAGACACTTCCTTTTCTTGTATTGATCGTTGTTGTTAGGTGCTGACCATTTGGATTGCCAATCTTGGGGTTCAAACTGGCCTTGGGGTTCAAACTGACGTTGCGGTCCAACGCATTATTCCACAGCACTCCACCAGAACTCCATTTTCTTTCTCTGGCGTGTATAATTGAAAATTCTTGTGTGAATGAAAGTGAGTTTAGAATGTAATGCAAGTCACTTATGTATATTTCCAAAAGAGCAAGTGTCAGTTTGCATCGATCTCATATGTAATCAGAGCAGTCAGGTGTGCTGCCTCACTTGCAAAGGCAGAGAATGGGGTGTGAGTCCATCCAGAAGGTGCACCCTGCCCAACCTCCCCCAGCCACTGAAGCTGGTGGGAGCACCTCATAAGATGGGCCCCAGTCCAGACAGCAAAGGTGTCTGGACACTCACATGATGACGTTTCAGCATCTCAGGTGGACAGTCATAGGAATGCTGAAAAGGCCCTGACCAGCTGGATACCTGGCCAGGAATGCTTGGCCAATATCATATCACTGTGCAAATGTGACCCTTGTTTTGTAAACTACAATTCTATGCATAGATAAAAGAATAAAAGAAAATGGACCAAATAGTTGACCATTGTAAATACTAGGAGCACAAATCAATTTCATTGTCTTATTTAATTCTTCTTTTGATGAATTTTCTACTATTAATATGTAGAACTATTATCAGAAAGTAAATACTACACTTTTCAATGTAGTTTGCAGTTACAGCCATAGCGAAGCTGACAGTGTTTGGTCTCCTGTGAGCCCATGAGTTCACTCATTTCACTAATATTTTTGTGGGGTGGCTAAAGGAGGGTCCCATTTCACAGGAGAAAATCAGATTAGTGTCTTAACTCCAAGACTTTGCATTCAGTTTCCTCTTGTTGTGTAACAAACCATCCCAAAACTTAATCATTTCAAACACCTGCATTTATTTTGCTCATAAATCAACAATTTGGGCAGAGCTTCCAGGGAAAGTCTCCTTTCTGATCTCCTGGGAGGCTGTGGAGGGCAGCTCCAAGAATCATCTGAAAACTCACTCCCTCTTCTATATGACAGGTGATGCTGGCCGATGCCACCAGAACATCTACTCTGGGCCACCTCTCCATATGGCTTGGGCCTCCTTCTAACATGGTGGCCAGGTCCTAAGAGCGGCTATCTGAACATAGTTGAACTGTACTAGTCCAGGCAGTCACCAAGATCTATTGAGTTCAAAGAAAGGGAACCTAGACCCTAACTTTCAGTGGAGCAGTGTCAACATCACACGCAAGGGATGTGAGAAGGGATATATGATGGATATATATTGTGTGACCATCTTTGGAAGATACCATCTTTGGTCCTTTTTCAACACATTGAAAAACACAAATGGTATCTTTGTATTATGGAAACTGATCAGAAGTCTGTGGGCTGCATTTTACATACCTTTTGTATGCCTTCCAGTTGGTTCTGACTCATAGCAACATTGTACAGGATTTCTGAGAGCAGTTGGTGGGTTTGAACTGCTGAATTTACAGTTAGAAGTCCAATGCCTATCATACAGCTCCACACCAGAACTCTTGTTGTTTGTTGTTAGATGCCAACGTGCACAAATGACCAAAACACTACCCAATCCTGCATCAACCTCAAAGTCGTTGCTACGTTTCAGTCCCTTTCTGCTGCCACTGTACCAATCCATCTAGTCAGGGGTCTTCCCCTTCAATTTACCAAGTATGATGTTCTTCTCCAGGGAACGGTCCCTCCTGATAATATGTCTGAAGTATGAGAGACGAAGTCTGGTCATTCTGACCTCTAAGGAGGATTCTGGCTGTACTTCTACCAACACAGATTTATTTGTACTTTTGGCAGTCCATGGCACTTTCAATATTCTCCTACAACACCATAACTCAAATGCATCAATTCTTCCACGGTCTTCCTTATTCACTGTCCAACTTTCACACACATATGAGGCTATTGAAAATACCCGGGTTCTTAACTACCTTTAATCTACCTTATTTCTTATTACGGCAGCTGAGTGTTCTCTCCTTTGTGTCTTCCATTAAGTTATCTAACCTGTTCCCTAGGTGGACATTCAGGTACATCCCATCTTATGTGACTCATGCTTGTGGTCACATGCCTCCAAGTCAGTCCTGACTCATAGCGACCCTGTACAGGGTTTCTGAGAATGAACTGCCTGCCTTGTGGTTAGCAGTTCAGCGCTCATCCTAAAGCATCACACCAGGATTCCATCTTAAGGGGCAATAGATCTAAACATTGAAAAATCTCATTCATTCATTCAACAACCATGAACTCAGTGGAGGTATTTTTTGAAGGACTGGAGATACAGCCAATACCCAGAACTGTTAGGCTGACATTCCAGTGGGGGGCACAGTCCAATATGACGATAAGAGTTGAGACCCGAGGCAGCACAGGAGGCCCTCCCTCATCAATGCCAAGAAATTTGGAAGATGGCTACCTGGCCAACTGATTGGAAGAGATCCATATCTGTGCCCGTTTCAAAGAGAGGTAATCCAACTGAATGTGGAAGTTGTTGGACAATATCATTAATATCACATGCAAGTAACATTTTGCTAAAGGTAATTAATAAACAGCTGCAATAGTACATTGACAGGGAATTGCCAGATGAGTGAGCACCCCCAGTGTCGCCTCACTTTGTTGAAAAATTTCAATTTATATTCCATCAATTCCCAGTGCCTTGCTCTTTGCCAATGACTTCAGTGCACCTCGGCCTTCTTCCTTCAGGACAGTTGGCTCTTGATCATATGCTATCCTTTGAAATGATAACTTGGGGGACTCTGCCAAGAAAAACCAAACCAATCAGTGTTGGAAGAAGTACAGACAGAACACTCTGTAGAATCCAGGATGGTGAGACTTCATCTCTCAGATTTCGGACATATCAGGAGGGACCAGTCACTGGAGAAAGACATCATGCTTAGTAAAGTGGAGGATCAGTGAAAAAGAGGAAGGCCCCCCAAAGGATTGGCACAGTGGCAGCAGCAATGGGCTCAAGCAGAGCAATAATTGTGAGGTTGGTGCAGGACTGGGCAGTGTTTTGTTGGGTTGTGCATGAGGTCACTTTGATATGACATCTAAGAGCAACAACAATAACAACAAGGGCTGAAGGGTACTTAAAGTAAGGAGTGTCTAGAACTTGGACCTGGACCAAGAAGCAGTTGTTTGAACAGAGCATGGGAACACTGAATGGTTTAAAATTAAGAAAGGTGTGTGACAAGGTTGTGTTCTTTCACCACACTTATTCAACCTGTATGCTGAGCAAAGAATCCGAGAAGCTGGGTTCTAGGTAGAAAAACGTGGCATCAGGATTGGAGGAAGACTCATTAACAACCTGCAATATGCAGATGATACAACCTTACTTGCTGAAAGTGAAGAGGACTTAAAACATTTACTTATGAAGATCAAAGAGCACAGCGTTAGGTATGGATTACATCTCAATGTCAAGAAAACAAAAGTCCTCACCACTGGACCAATAAACAACCTGCCATTTTTGTAGCTGTAGTCTTTGATCTTCATCAATAGGTGCTTTTTTCAGCAAG